GTCTTGCTGTAATGTGAGAATTTCAACATCTGAAATCACTGCAGAAACTATACTTCTGCCTTTCCATTTACTGGCAGACCAAACACTGCATTCAGTCATGAGATCCCTGCTTGGTGAATGCAGTCTCACTGCCTTTGGATGTTTGGCTAGGGAAAGCTCTGATGGGCTTTTACCATATTCAAATAGTGATAATTATAAACCCCTTAATCTTTGTCATACCTGTGGTGCATATTGATACAGCCTAAATTCCCTTAGAATAAAAGTAGTTCTGAAGTCATAACAACAGCCCCGGGAGAGTGGGGCTAGCCTGGCATTTCAGCCAACTGGATTTGCCTTCTCCTCTTGAGGCCCTACTCCTTTCTCAGGACAGCTGTGCATTTCATGGCACACAGAACCATCCGCTTTCCATGAACTCCTAGGAATATAGCAAGATAACAGGGAGGTATGATTTGGATCATTAAATCATACTTCCTTCAGATCCATCAGCTATAAAATGAGCATTTATACAGGAAGGGCTCAAAGAACATACCACAGCCTTCAGCACTCAATAGCAAGCAAATGGCTTGTCATTAAAATACAAGCTCATGAGTCCCAATGAAGATTCTCCAGACAGTAGTCCACTGCAAAACCTTTAGCAGATCTGAAACAAAGGTCAATGGTGGAAATAAAGTTGAAAGAATGAAATTATGAAAGACCCAGATCCATTGCACCTGCTCACTTAGGTCAATTTAATGAGTTTTAGACACTGTGCTGGAAATAGCACTCCCACAAAGCTCTGCACAGATTTGCAACTCCATGCTTTCATATTTTTTTGTGGCTATCCTTCTGTGCTCTTCACAATCTTTAAATCAACCAGATGTGGACACCTGGATGGTGGTACAAGATGGGCAGAAGAAACAGGTGCATTTGAATGGGTATTCCCTTGCCACATGATAAACACTAGCTCCTTTTATTATGGATTTGGAGCAATAAAGATTCTTTTTTTCCCCATTCTGCAGACTAGGCAGTGGATCTGAGGAGGGCGAATCCTTCTGTCTCAAGTTCCTCACTGAGCTTGTGGAAATAACTCCAAGGCAATACTTGTGTCGGGCTATGGAGCAAAGCTGTCGCAACTCATGTCAACTTCCAGACTTCAGGACAGAACGGAAACCCTCCTGCCCACCTTGTGAAACCTAATAACCCATAGTCTTGCTCTTGTTTGTGCTTTCAGCCCACCCAGGCCTGCATGGCTGGTATCACTGGGAAGTGGAAGTGAAGGCACATGACGGCCAGAGAAGAGGGAGAGGGAGAAGGCAAGTGCAGCAGTTTGCTTCCGGGCACTTTGCTGTGCCTGCCAGAATGTGGAGTATCTTTGAGTCTGTGGTGATTGATGACAGTTCAAAACTGTTGCACAGTGTCTAGTTCTAGCTTTGAGTGGTAGTTGTAGAGGTTGACACACAATCTAAAGGACAGAAGACACACTGGACAACCTGTCTGAGGGTGGTGCTGCATGCCAAGGATGCCTTCAAGGCAGAGCAGATGGCTGCTCATTAATTACAGCTCCTCAAAAAAACCCCCATTGATTTGGAAGGTTTATTTTTAGTATGTTGCCCTTCCAGTTTGGCTGATTTGGCTGATTGGCTGTCAGGATTTTCCTTCACATCTTCATTTGCAAAAACTGCTTTCAGGTGTGAAAGAAACACCCCAATATTTGGTCTCTAACATTAGTACTGAAGGGCAGCAAGTGGATGCAAAGAATGAGCTACTAATTTTTCTGGCAACATTGAGAGACTTTCAAGGACAAAAACTGTTGCTAGATGGCTTATGCAACAAGGTCTGTGAGATAACACAGTGTGTTTCCATGTCAGTAGCCTAAAGAGAAAGACTCCAGTGTCATTCTAGAAAACAGAGAAGGAGAGTGAAGAGGTCAGTCTGGCAGTTTTGTGTAGAGTGGCTGGGCAGAGGGAGAACACAGGTAAGTATAGGCAGCGTAGAGGCTGCAAGGCCAGATCTTTCCCAGACCCAGGCAGAAGTAAAGGACTGTAACTGAGCAGCACTGGGAACCACAAACAGGGAAAGTGCTGCATCCATTTGCACCAGGTAAGGTGTGGAGTTGAAGGGATAGGACAACAAATTAGCTGTATTGGCAGAACTACAGAAGTTCAGCCAACAAAAGACTTCCCCAGATGGCACACTCAGGCATTCAAGAAGGCAGAGATCCCCCAAAGGTCAGCATTGCAGGAGTTGGGATTACTTCACAAGGGACAGTTTCCTATCAGTGGCTATGGGACAAGAATCTGCTGCTTGTGCAGAGAGGATATTTGTTTTCTCAGCTGGAGAGCTCTCCAAATGGCAGCAGCTGAGAGAAATGCAGACACCTTCAGGAGAGTTGCAGGACAGTAGCAGTCCTCTAAAACTTATACTTTCCTCAGCCTGTCTGAGTTTCCTAGGCAAGAAAGCAAGGATTGCAGTGCACCTTGGAGGAGCAAAGAGCATAAAGAACAGCAAGGAGCAACTTGATGTTGTCAGAAAATTCTGCTACTAGACTTGGGTACCCGTGCTTGGGAAATTTAATGAGAACCAACTGCTGGGCACACAGGCAACAGGCTTTGTGCAACATCACGATGCGAGGCTCCAGCATCACAAATTAGTATTTTGGTCCATCTTGGTTCCATTGATGCAGGTCAATGGAAGCAGCCAAGTTTCAGCTGTCAGACAGGTAGCTGAGGATGAGGACATTGCACTCTATGCAACACTGTCTATTGCATGCATGAAGACAGGAATACACAGAAATCCTAACTCTAAGAAAGAGTCTTAACGCCCAAATGAGATACAGAGAGCAAGGTCCATGGAGCACTAGGAAGTCTTCTGGAACAAGAGGAGTCTGAACAAGAGGAAAAGGCTGCACTTTGATCTTAATGAAATGAGGGTTTTGGCCCTAAAAATTCAAAGGTATCCAGAGTAATATTTAAAGTAGAATCTGGGGAAAAGCAAACAGGCACAGAAGAGCATGTAGTGTATGTAGACTGATGTGATATTAAAAAGTGAATACATCTAGGGTTCAATGCTGCTTGGGAAATACCAGAAAGGAAATGAAAATAAAAATTGCAATAAGTAAGGACAGCAAGATAGACTGTTAATGCCAGTTCATTTTCACATGCAAAATTAAATGTTGGTGTCAGGGCAAAACTGGCACATCCTTGCATGCAGCCTGGAGGAAGGATTTAGGGATGCTGAAATGGTTACCTTCAATGAACAATGGCCATCTCAAGAGCTGGGATGTGGAAGATCAATGGGATTCAGTGTTACCTTGCTGATAGTTTAATGGCAAGGAAGGAGTCAGTGCCCTCCCTCCCCTCTGCAAAACTCTGGTCAATGCACTCCTACCTCCCCCAATGCCAGCAGAATACTCCCCATATCCACTGAGAGCACTGGGAGTGCTCTTCTGCTCCTACAGAAGCACTGCCTGGGCCTTCAAAGCCCATTTCCCCTGCCACAATTCCTGTGATGTCAGCTGGTGCCTGTGCCCAGCAGGACAGGAGCAGGTGGAGAAGGGGTGAGTGTCAGTGACCCCAGTTCCAGCAAGCACTTCCTTCTCTGAGCAGGTTTGGGGGCTTCCTGTGCAGGGTGGTAGCTAGTGCCCCGCCATGTGCAGCACTCCCCATGCCCAGGAAGCTGAGGGCTCTCTCCGGCCCCCTTGGCTACTGTGCACAGATGAAGCCAGCTGGGAATGGTGGTGGGATGAAGTTACTGAAAGGCTTCAAAAACACCCACCTTTAGTTAGTCAATTGACAAATGTGGGGAATGAAAATCTTCACATAAAAGAGTGGGGCCAGCAGCAGCAGCAGGCAGTGATTGTCCCACTGTGCTCAGCACTGGTGAGACCACACCTCGAGTTTTGTGTTCAGCTGTGGGCCTGTTACCAAAGGTCAGTAAAAATAAAAACTCTTGAACACTAATGTAGCATTAAGAAGCCAGCATTCTTTATTGAGCTGGATGCACAAGGGGATAGCTCCTCCAAAATCTCATTCATGCTGAGTACAGAGAAAGCTCTATTTTATATACTGTATTTTATATATACTTTGATAGGATTTCCTAGAAAAAACATATATATAAGAATAATTTCTCTGAAGTCATTAACATATGTTCCCTTCCCTCTCTCCATGTGTTCTTCTGTTTCTTCTGTCCTGGGGATCTCTTTGGTGATCCCTGGTAGTCAGGGACTCCAAAGTCGTAGCTGACAGCCTTGTGAACTTGTAAAAGTCGGCACAACTGGGCTGGTTCCTTTCCAATTCTTCTTCCTACAGAATAAGCATTGTGCAGTTCCACAGGTCAATGGTTTTCGAAGAATAAGCACTGTATTAACCCACCCATTGTGCAAACAATTCTTCCTCTGGCAGCAGGCCTCTCTCTGCAAGAAGGAAATTGAGGTGCTGGAGTGAGTCCAGAGAAGGGCAATAGGGCTGATGAAGGGTCTGGAGCTCAAGTCCCCTGAGGAGCTGCTGAGAGAACTGGGTTGTTTAGTGTCAAGAAAAGGAAATTCGGGAGACTTATCACTCTCTACACCTGCCCGAAAGCAGGTTGTAGACAGGCAGGGGCTGGTCTCTTCCTCCCAGGTAGCAAGTGACAGGATGAGAGCACAGCCTCCAGCTGTGCTGGGGAGGTTTAGGTTGGACATTAGAAATAATTTCTTCACAGAAGAGCTGCCCAAGGGGGTGGTAATGTCAGTATCACGGGAGTTGTTTAAGGAAAGACTGGATGTGGCACTCAGTGCTAAGTTTTGGTTGACAAGGTGGGATTCGTGGGGCTGGCTCGGGGATCTCTTTGCCAACCTGCCTTCTTCCGTGCCGCTGTAGCAGCTGACAATCACAGCGCACCCTACACAGTCCGCGGTCCTGGCGCGGGGCACATCGCTACCGGCCGCAGCCCCGCCGGCGCTGCTCGGCTGGGCCGGCAGGACGAGAAGGAAGGGGGAACACGGGAGGCTTCCTTCACGCCTCGCCCCTTGGCGGCGGCAGCGCGCAGCTCTACTCCCGGGCCGCGCCCGCTCCGCGGGCGGGGCGGGGCGGCTGCGGCCCGGCTCTTCCCTTCCCGCTGAGGGCGGCGGCCATTGGCAGGCCCGGTTCCGACATGGCGGCCAGCGCGGTGTCCAACCCGTCCCAGCTGTTGCCGCTCGGTAAGGATGAGGGATTCCCGGGGCCGCAGTCGGGGCCCGGCCCGGGGTCCCTCCCCAAGGGGTCGCGGCAGCTGCGGGCCCCTCGGGGGGGCCGAGCTGCCCCAGCGCCTGGCGGGAGGCGGGAGGACGGGAACGCGTGGCGTCAGGCGGTGGGGCCCGTGCGCGGCCCGGGAAGATATCGGGGTCAGGGGCCAGCGGAAAAGGAGGGTGGGAGTAGGGGATAGGTGTGAGGGTGTTGGGGTCTGGGGGGTGAGGTGAGGTGTGCGGCTGTGGGAGTGTATGAGGGAGGCCGGTGGGAGTGGGGATGGGTGTAAGGATGTCGGGGG